TTGGAAATTTTTTCCAGAAACTCATGGGCAAATGGACGAAACTTGGTGTGGTACCAAAGAGGGTAGCCAGAAAGATTAAAATGGTACACATCCTGGAAAAAAAAAACAATACAATGGTTTTTAAGATGTCTGTCATGATCTTAAATAAGCATCACTTCTTTAAAAGCTTATTTTTTTAAATCCCTTCCTTGGAAGTACATGTAGCAAAACATGAAAATTTGGAAATGACTGGAGATAGTTAATCACAAAGTAATTTGTTTTTCCATTAGAGGGACAGCTGAGTGCTTTACTATGTACTGCAAGTTAAGTTTATTTAATACACTTTGAAAAATTAATATAACCCAAATAATAATATTATTTTCAGCCAAATTGTTCCTGTCAGGCAGCAAGACTTGTTTTAGTACATGTTTATTTTGACATTCAAGCATGATTGTGAAGGCTGTGACACTCTAAAGTCAATATGCACAGCTGTGATAACCATACATGAATCCTACCTTCATATCTGAGGGAACAAGCTCAATTGTTGTATGAATCATGGTCTGGTCTAGATCCACAACCAGGGCAAGCTTGCGAGTGCTAAGAAGTCTTTCTTCATCCTTTTTTCCTACTGCTTCAGCTTCCTGTTCATAAAATGAAYTTCACTTTATCATTGATACAAAGATATTTATCTTAAAGCATATACAATGTAATGTATCATTAAAATTTACAAAGATATCAATCTTGAAAATAGCATATAGTTTTTTGCATCATTCTTAATCTATGGTTAAAAAGCATTTAGTCTTGTAAACCATTAAAAATTTCCAATGTACATCACAGTTACTTTGAGCAAACAATTTTTGAAGTGTAAAAGTCATTCTGTTTCAACTTACATCTTGTGTCACTCTCAATTCTGGAATATTGTGAATCATGGAAACTGTAGCWAGAGTGGGAGAAGATGGCTCATCTTGGTCTGAAGCTAACCTGCAAAAAGGTAAAAAATAAAATAGAAAACCTTTGAAAGAACTGTTGTCAAGTCCATACAGCATGACCTTGAGCCAAATATTTTAATGTAAGGCCCTCCCACTCAGTCAATAAGTACATAGTATCTTTTTGTATCTTAGGGTCATTCTGTCCTAAGGTGAAAAAAAAAAATGTTGGCAGACATTTTGGAGAGAGGTTTAAAGTAGYAATGTTGATGTAGATGCATAATTATATTGACTTACTTTCGGAGATCCATTCCACAATCACAACACAGATCCTTCATGACTGTAGTATGTTCACAAGMAACTGATTGTTCAATTTGGATAACAGGTTTACTATGAAATAGAACAATCATGACAAAATTAGTATTTAGTTCTTGTCGCACTTGAAACATAGGGGATCTTACATGGGCATGTGGTGATTCTGGTGATAACTCATGATCAAGGTGAGCTTATCAAGATGTTTTCAGCCGATGTATGTTGAATCAATATATTCTATTACATTTTTGTCTTTTATTGTTGGCAACTCATACAATGGCAACTCAACAATRTGTCAAAAAAAATTATAAAGGACAATATAAAATGTTAATATAATAAAAAGCATTCATTTGCAACTCTGTATTATAACAATTGCGACAATATTATTAAAAAAATGTAATTTTTGACAATGCATGGTGTATAAGAAGGAACTGAAACAACTTCCGTTCATTTTGTGCCTCCCCTCCCTAAGAGTACAAAGTACTCCGTGCTACCCCAGGTAAGTAGATGGACAGTAAATTACACTACGCACTAACAAATCAGTCCAGTTGAAAGCGGACGGGAACACAAACCGCTAAAGAGGAAATAGCCTAAAATGATGTGGCAACGTCTGTAGTCTGATGAAAAACTAAATTTGATGTGGTATATTGTTGCTGTTCTTCGTATTCTACGTGTGTATTTCGTAAATAGTACAATAAAACTTATAAACTTGAGGAAAATTTCGATTTTTACTCGCAAAAATCGTGTTATTTCACTGCAATGAAATACATGTACAAATTCGTTTTTTTAGCTTTTAAAAGAGGAGAAAGACATTCCAGGAAAATAAAATAAAAGCTGTTAGATTATTTTTGAGTATCACATTGATAGGGTCTGTAAACAACAGGGTTGCAACACGACAGTAAAAAATTCAAACTCACAAAAACAACACAACTAAATTAAATGACGATCACCTTTGGCGCCAAATACGAACTGAACTAAGCTAAACAGCAGTAAAATTCACTTAAAAYCCCTCATGTACATAGCTAAGAAATTAAACTTGCCCAAGGACTGAAAATTGATGAAAGAAGGGTTACTAAATAGTAATATTTACCCCGGTGGGACGACGTCTCCCTCTGCGACCAAAAGCTTTTTGATACGGCCGTTGACATTGCTCCTCAACTTTGGCTGCAAATTAAAACCTTTCTGATCRTTGGATTGGCCAAMTTTTTCATACAAGGCTAGAACAGTTCTTTCTTTAACGTCTTGACCTTCWTTTACTCGCCATTTCATTAGCTTGGAGGTGAACAATGAAGAAATTGMAACGTTATTTTCTCCACTATCCGCCATCTTGTTTTTCGCTTTCGCGCGTCACTTAACGAGAAAATTAAACTGTGGGGGAGGGGGCTGGGGAGAATTCAGTGTCACACACGGGATGGGGCTAATGTATAATGCTTTTTGTTTACTACATTATTATATACGACAATCGACGAATACAACATAAAACTTACTGCTMATATTCCTTGCATTAGAATGGTAATTTTACGTGTTGCAAGTCTAATGACGTCGTRAGTTTCATTCAGTGGTCACGTAAGCCTGTTACTTAAACGTTTTATGCCTTTTATATGGATTATAATACCTACACTACTCTGGAATTGCTCGTGATAATACCAATTTATGGAAAAGTGCCTTTAAAAATCCTAATCATTCTAAAATAGACTGCAAAGTAATAATTTTGTACACGAAACTGAGCAGCGAGTTATAGCGCGTTACAGCAGACTTACTTCCGGTTGCGCAAAACAAGCATTCTGCTGAAGCAAGTCAGATTGCCACACCGCAGTTCAGTCAACATGAAAAAAAGGAGCGCAGTTTACTGTGCCTTGCTTATATACTTTAGGCTWTCAAGTCTTTTAGCTCAGCATCAAAAATGCTCAAGAATTTTCTTCAAAAATATCGATGAAACGACGAACCCATGGGTACAAATTGAAGGAGTTTACGTTTCGACGACGWCATCTCATGATGGATTCCCTGTTTACAAGAACCAAGAATCAAGTCTTTTGTTCTACTATAACTACGATACAGCAAGAAATATAAAAGACTTTACATTTGGATACAAAATTGGTGAGGTCTTCGGTGTCGTTGGTTTRGCTCATTCTAACTTTGAGCCAAGTAAGTGGATGTCATCATATACGAACAAGRATGACCTTTTTAACGATGTCATAAGAGAATGGAAGTACTATTCACCTCTTGATAAAGCATTTAAAGATTTAAACAATATCAAAGCAGTTTGTGTGGATGAAAACTTYTTTCGTTGTGATTCAGAGAGGGTCTATCTCAATGACACAATCACTTCCGGTCAGGCGATCATAAATAATCCTAAAACTGATTTCTTTGTAAAATTGCCCGGTGTCTACCGATCTATTCGACCAGTTTACAAGCACAATMAACAGAACTTGTATCTTTACTACAACAGTGGCTATTGGACTGTAGGCTCTAGTTACAGTGATCAAACCGGAAGTCGAATTTTTCGAGTTGAAGATCACGCATTCAGRCCGGAGTACGTGACCAACATCTGGARTGCTTATGTTGGAGGTCATTGGACCGCAGWGAACGGGCTGAAACTCCTTTGCCGTGGTGTTTTTAATGGYCAAAATCGATGCAAACTTCAAAATTCTGCAACTTGTATGAACTCTGGACGGTGTATTTATACAGAAGGAAATGAGACWGTCTGCGCATGCGTTAAAGGTCGTTATGGACTACGTTGTGAAAAGACGAAGACTTGCTCTGATCCTGGGACACCTGCGTCAGCAGTGAGTGTAGTTTGGAACGGTCGACGTCCAGGCGACATTGCCACGAGCTTTTGTGGGAAGGGCTATCGATTTCAGCCAATGGAATACTATGTTTGCGAGACGGCGGGGAACCAGGAGGCCTGGTATCTTGAGTCAAAAGCAAGTTGTCAGGTCATATCTAACAACAACAACAACAACAACAACAACAACAACAACAACAACAACAACAACAATAATAATAACAACAACAACAATAGCAATAACAACAATAACAATAATAACAACAACAACAACAACAATAACAACAACAACAACAATAACAACAACAACAACTATGCTCAAAATAGTGACTGGGATCCAGATCTTGATTTTCTCATTTTCTTTGGTCCTTGTCTGGCGTTCAATATAGTTATCCCAACTTTTATCTGGCTTGGGATGTTCCTTACCAAAATCTGYCGCATTACTAGAGCAACGGACGCTAACTCTCCTGAACGGACAGGTGCCGTCAAAACCATCGCAGACGACCGCTATTGGGTTCTACTCCGCACTTACTCAGCGTATTTTAACTTTGCGTTTTGGCCATGGTTCATATTTGTGCTWGTTGGTGCATCGTCTGAAGAGCTGATGGCAGTTCATTATAACTTGTTTTACTGTGGTATTGGAATGTGCGTCTTCTGTGCGCTTTTTGTCGCTATTGAAGGTTATATSTGCACTCAACGAGTAGCTCTKAGCCATATCGTCACAAGGGAGTACATATCCAACTTGCAAACAGCACTTCCAAACGTTACTATAGTGATAGAAAGATACAACTGGAAGAGTTAYACAGTCTTACGGAGYTACAACGGCYWCTATGAAMGAGAAACKCACYACAAGAAGGTGGGAAAGAAAGTCATTCGCGAGGCTTTTATTTACGAGAGAATGTTGGATGAATCTCAGGACCTCAATTATTAYGGACAGCTGACAAGATTACATCTAAAYTTCGATGTGAGCATTGGGGACGAAGTGTCTCAAAGAGCTTACACCAATCAAGAGCAGAGTCTTGTCCAACGCACMGATCACGTGAATTACTTTTATGATCTATCACGTGATAGCAGCGTGCCAAATTTCCACGACCACGTGCTTTTGTGCTCTGACTCAATGTCTTTACCTTGGTGGGTTGGGGAGAAGTTCTTCTGGTGTGCCACACTCTTTCAGCTTTCTTGGATCTACAGAATTTGTCTCAACTCTGCTACAGTCCTTGTTGATTACACCATCAAAAAGAAAGTTTTCGTCAGCAGTGAAGGTGGTCAAACTGGTTATGTCCAGGAAACAACCGGAAATTCTAGTTCTTCAAGTCAAGTCAGCCCCCAAGATGTCGGTTCTGATGGAGATAATCCGACCATTAATCAGGAGAGTAAGCCTTTGATTGGATTCCATCATCCAGGCGCAAAGAATTATGACACCATATAGACATTGTCTAGATGCACTTATATGGACAATAGAACGTCTTTTATTACAATTGCAGTCGGCGCGTTTTAATGAGGTTTAATAATAGAGAGTTTAAGCATCACGTTTGCGGCAAACGGCTAACGGCAGAGCTGAACCAATGACCTAAGAATTTCGTGCCTGACCTTGTGCTTTAGGTAGTCATTGGAAAGAGCGACTTATCACGATTATGACAAACTCAAAATAACCCTCTCTCGCGTTGAAACTGTAAGGGTTAACTCCCAAAGAGCGGGTCACGTGATCTTTTCTGCCGTTTGCAGTTTGCCGTGAACGCCATGCTTAAGCTCTCTAATATCTAATATCCAACGGGAAAAGGTTTCGTTCACAAATGCTTTCAAGGCGGTTCCTATTTGATGGTAAAAATTGTGATTGAGTAAATTTCAGGCTCATACTTTTTTAATTTCGTCTCTGTTATACACTCCTTTTTTCCTTATTGCCTGCCATGGATATATTATTATTATTATTTATAATTTCAACCCATTCTTTGTTTTAATTCACTGCCTATATCTTACATTTCAGTTTGTAATCAGTTTGCAGGCGCGTAGCGTGGGCTTTTAAATTAGCTAGTACGCACATGTCAGGGACCGCGGCACAATTTTGGATCTGGGGGTCTAACGACCGCCAAAGGTGGAAGTATTAAGGTACTCTGGGCCTCCCCCATATAATAACTCTTAGAAATGCGATTTCCAGCGTTTTTGAGAGACATCGGGGGCATATAAAAGGGATCAATTTTATGTGAATTTTTCAGTAAGTTTTTTGAAAATTTTAATATTTCCTTGCCACTAGTACGCACGTGCGTATATGCGTAAACGACGCTATGCGCCTGATTTGTTGTTTGTTTTATCATTATCTCTAGGTGATTTCCAATGGTAATGTCTATTCATAAATGAAAACAACAACAACAACAACAATAACAAAACAACAACAACAACCAACAAATCACTTTCCTAGGAGAAAATGTTTCTACTTTTGATCCAAGGATCTCTTGCATGTTTCTCTTTTGGTTTGATAAATCGAAAAGAAAAACATCARTACAGAATAATAAAGTGTAGAAAAGTTAATAAGTATTTTCTGCATCCTACGATTGATGGATCAGAGATAAACGGCTGTTTTGGGGAAATATATTGAAGATGATTAGGGCTTTGGAGTATTTAAATCGGCGCTTTGAAAAAATCAATTAAAATACAATTACCTTCTAAGCCTTTTGATTAGACTTTACAAATGATTTTGACGACATGCAATTAAGGATTTTGAAAGCTGTCGATTTTTTTTTGTTTTTATTGGTTTGAATCCKATTTCTTTTGTAATACGACAGTTTTATTACAAAACAGGTGTTTTTCATACACGGTATGGCCTATTATTAGAGAGCTTATAAATATCTAGTTGCAGTCCCACGACAGTTTGTCGTCTGTAATTACCTACCAAAGAATTCATCTACATACAAAGGAGACCTAATAAAATGAATTGCCATGGACATATGTACAGATGAGAAACATATGCAAAGAGATGTAGTCTCAGCGATTCTTAAAAGAAGTGAAAGTCAGAAAAAAGTTATCAGAAAAAGCGTTGTTTCAATCTCACACTATAATGAAATACAAATAGCCGCGTTTTGACAAATGAATTGTTGATTCTAGATATCCCTTCAACGCTAGGTTAGCAGTTCGACAAATTTGGTTCTTCTAATTAAATTTGACTGACGGAAGTCTCAGTATCAAGAATACAATATGAGAGTAATTTTGAAGGCGTGAAGGCGCCATATGGTCAATTGGAATTGTCATTTCGTCAGTGGTTTGTGGATGCAAATATAAGCCTCTCTATCTCTCTTAAAGGTAGTGGTTTTGGTTTTCTAAAAGCTAAGTAACAAGATGCATCAATTCACAAACTCCTGCATTCAAAGCTATGATGTGGCATTTAACAGTATTAGGAGAGTCAGCACTATACTGTTCATTAGTATTATATTCGACGGAGTATTGTGTATTTTAGCAACACTTGGAAATGGCTTGATTATYKTTGCCATCTTGAGATCCCGAAACCTTCAAACACCATCTTACCTACTAATATCAAACTTGGCTTTCTTGGATCTTCTGGTTGGTTTGGTTTATCTTTGGCCATACATGGTATTGAGAGTATTCTATTTGCAAGAAAATGGTGCAAAAGTGTGTGATATCGTCGAGACTAAATTTTCCATGCCATCGATATTATTTTTTGGATGGGTTTCACTCGYCATGTCTGCGTTGATCAGTATTGATAGGTACTTAGCTCTTCGTTCAAAATATCGATACAGAGTTATCGTTACAAGAAAGAGGGCACGCATAGCAGTGCTATTGGGATGGTTGTCTGGACTTTTCTTYGCGCTCTTAAGAGGTGGTGTTATAAAACCGAATCATGGGACCACAAAGACCGCTAACATCATCAACATCATTCTCGGGTTCTCCATACTGCTCACAACTTGTATATTCTACACAATGTCCTTCATAACACTTCATCGCTACACATYGCAAGTGAATGGCCAGCAACCGAACCCATTACAAGGAAATTTTGATRTTGTGAAATACAAGAAAACTGTTAATACAATGGTAATTGTATTAGGCTGCTTGGTTATCTGCTACGTCCCACTATTCCTTGGTGGTCTGCTTATACCGATAGGGGGATTTAGAGTGTATTCTGATAATCCATATGAAATGCTACTGCAAGTATTAAACAATTCAATTTTTGCTTTAAACTCAGTTGTCAACCCGTTTATTTACGTAAAAAGATTTGTAGATATTCGTCAAGCTTGTAGGAAAGTGGTGAAGGACTTTCTGGTTTGCTAGAAAAAGGTTACGCCCTTTATAGCCACTGGAAAAAATCGCGCGCTTTAAAGGTTGTAAATTTGATGTAAATATGATGTACAATCTTCAAGCGCGCGATTTTTTCCAGTGAGCCATTGAGATGATTACTATTCCGACAGGAATTGCAATAGACTTTGTTAAATCATCAATCGTAAAGCTATTCACGCATTTAGTAATAAGAGCAGTGGAGGTATTGGTGATAATCTCTGAAAATGTACTGAGACAAATTCATCTCTTGGCGCCAATCATGGTATGGTATAAACTAAAGAATAGAAGAACGGATCTGGAAATGTATACACAAATCCAAATGTACACAAATGTCGGTGCTATATTGTAATGATAAATTATTAGATAATGGATAAGAAGTATTGTAAATATATATCACTTCAGCTTGAATAAAAATTGCTTTTATCATCTGAAATTGCTCTCTCTGTCTTTTCACCTGAATATACTACTTCCTGTACAGTGTTTCCAGTGGTTTTCTATTCTTTTCTAGATGTTGTAAAAGCCAAGCAAAAATACGAAAAAYACAGAATTAATTAAACCAACTTGAAAAGAAGATAAGACCTTCATTTTATCTTGCTCAGCTCACTTATTTCTTTTCTTTTATTTSTCAGTCATATTGTTGAATTTCATCATCAAAAATRTGTGTTGGGTGTTTTTGTTTAAAAATATTAGTRCGCGCACGGCTGTCTGCAAATGCGCACGGCTGCGGTTGAGATAGCTTTGGAATTTGGCGCGAAAAAGTCTTATTCTAAAAGTTACGTTCTATGCTACATATCACTATGCTTAAAAAACTTTAATAAACCTTACAAACCGTATTAGTTGTAATTAATAMCATAATTCTAAAGAAATTCGTCAAAAATTCGCATGAGATATTTTCTACGCTCGCGCGCACATCATNCATATCAAGTGTCAAAGAGAGCAAAAAACGTAAATAAATGAAGTGTTTTTATTAAAGATTTTGATAAAATGACTGAAAAATGGCAATACAAATAGTCAAATGTCACTAAAATCAATCAATGTAATAACACAATGAATACAATAACTATTTGTAGACGAAATTAAATGTTTCAAAACAATTTTGGAATTCACCGTCCGTAAATGTGGCATTTTCACGACACTGAAGAGTGTTTTTCTGCGATTTTGTACTTATTGACGGTCCACAACATATTATTGACCGCTGGTGGACAGTTGCCGGGAAACAGTAAAATTTTGTGACTTTCACGTGGTACACTCTCGACCAATAAGATACTAGGAAAAGTGAACTTTGACACTTGATATATAATAATAGCGTTTATTTCGCTGTTCTTTATACTGTAGCATGTGGGAGTGGAGTATTTCCTCGCCGGCATTTAAGGCAGACCACATCCATGCCAATGATTGAACGCTTGGGTCGACAGGGGTAGTGAAACACCGGTCATTTCCACATGTACGCGCTCAAAGCTTATAATCTTAGATGCTGGAGCAGAAGATTAAAAAGGTGAGAATTTTGCTTGTTGTAGCACCACACTGGTGTAAAAATTGAAAAATTGAGCGATGAAATTTTTCTTATATTATCTTTTCAACGATTTTTTTACATTGATACTTCAGTCAGTGACGGACAGCAACGTGTAAAAACGCGTACCAGTCGATGCTACCGCTCTAATGTCAAATAAATATTGCAAAGTTTTATYGTAAAAATAGCRTTGTAAAGCATTTGTGAGAGACATACAATGACAATTGAAGCCAATTGTTTTTCAACAGGAATCCCGCTAAAGCAAATTTTCTGTTAGGATGAAATGATCACCTACTAGACAAAGTAAGCATACAGTTAATCTCGTCGTTCTTGTATTCTTTGCTTTCTTAGKCTATTCCCTCCCTTCTGTCTTTCATCCTTACATCCTTCTCTCCTTTTTATTGTATTTTTGCTTTGATTAAAGATTGATTTCATGGAATGATTTTCTGGATTGCATKATGCTTCTGCCCTGATGCTTAGCTTCTGTTGCCATTCAAGTCAAGAGTCATCATTTATAATATATCAATTCTGAAACAAGGGACTTACAAGTAAGCACCTTTGAATTTCCTTTTGATATGTATCATAGTTGTAAAAATGTTTGCTTAAAAGAGTAATAATTTGATCATAAATCAATGATGTCTAAAGTTGAGACATGAMATGAAGATGTATTTCATCTAGTTCATGCAAAAATCAATAATAGGTCCAATCAGAGCTGTCTGATTGGTTGCAGATATCCCAACTCAATAAAACATAAAGTACAGTGGTATGTACTATATTTTGGTGTTTGAATTAATTTGTAGCATATTGCAATTAATTCAGCACTAAAGATCAGCCTATGTTCCATTAAAGTTATCCAATCAATATAGTCACATGACATGAACCCTCAATGTCTAACACAATTGTGTATTTTGTCAAAGAAAATACAGTAAACTTATCTGGTGTTGTATCTTGTAAACAGCACTTAAACTGACCTAAAAACAGTTTCTTTAAAAAAATAATAATAATGATGGCAACGATGCTCCAGTCTAATAAGGGTTCCTAAGTGGGTCACGTGATTGGTCCTCTGTACCTCAGTATAACAATAACTGTGTTTTATGATTTATCTGTTGGTGTGATATCAGKTATGCAACCTTGAGGTTCACCTGAAAAAAGGTCTCAGTTGAACAAATTGATATTTTGTTTATTATCTTATCTTGGTCATATGCTGGCGACCCTATCCATATAAAAACAACTGTGTTTTATGAGATAAAATGCACTCAAGTACAATTATTTGGTATTGTATGATTTATTTAACAAATAAATAAGGCTCAGCCGTGGTTTATACTCTGACAAACGCACGCTTGGTATTTGAAACACAAATGTCAAGAAGCACGAGCTGAAAGCGAGCAAAACTTCAGCAAAAACCCATTTTGTTGCCTTTTTCAAAAATCGCTCGCACACAATCGWGGTTTATACTCTCATAAACCACACTTTTTTTGGCCAATCAGAGCGCGGGTTAGAAATCATCTATATAATAAATAGATATAACCTTTATAAAACTAGCAAAGACCTCAGTGAAAAAAGAATGGTATGGTCACATGACCGAGCCCTTACATCATTGAACAACTGGCATGTATTTTCTCAATTAAAATAATAACAGTCAGTTATTTGCTGGTGTTGTATAATGTATATAGAACTTAAGATGTCCAAAAAACCTACAAGGGTTTCAGTAGTGTGAAAAATGTATGGTATGGTTCACATTATACACCCTCTATCATCCAAATTTTGTCAAGTAAAATACTCAGATCATCTATTTGCTGTCAGTTTTATACAGAACTGAGGGCAACTGACCATAGCTATTAAATGGTCTCAGATTCATTTCATGGTCCAATCAAGGTTATCCAAGCAATCAACGGGTGTATTTAGARTCGAGGGGGGTCAAAGACAGCGTGCCCATAACCCCTTCATTCAATGCCAAAGTAATTTAAAAAACCCGTTCACAAATATTGAAATCTCACCGTTGTAGTGTGAGTCGATTGGTTTATCAGATACGGAAATGATTTTTCTCATTTCTCACTTAGTGATGATTTTGCGTTTTAAGCAATAAAAACTATGACGTCGATATATTTCTATGACGTCACAATGATGTTATGTGACATCTTAATATAATCGTTTCTAAAAAATTCGGCGCAAATCTTTGTTGTCTCTATTCATTTTGTGAGTCGCTCACYGATTTAAAATGGGCGATATTTACGAGGTACAGCTTTCATTGTGTCTTCAATCAGAAAATTGCATGAAGTTTAGCAAGCTATGAATGAAATATTTCAAGTGCAAAAACTCCAGTATCTTTTGTGAATAAAACAAAGCGTCAGTCACCTTCAATATTGGTACTCAAGATGGTACTCAAATGGTTTATTCAGTTTCAAACCAAGCCTTTTTAATCATAAATCGCTACTTGACAAAACACTGCATGAGATATTTTTGAGGAAAAGGTTATTTTTGATGGCTGAATAACATGGTAGTCTCCTTTGCAGCCTCCCTTTTGTCGGGCTTTCTGTTCCTCCCAAAAGAGGAAGGAAACATGAAACATGGAACATGGAACATAGTAGATCGCCTGTTGGATCGATGCTTATGAAACAAATGCAAACCATTAGTTAATAATGATTTTGGTTGCAATTTGGGTCAATTTATGGACCGTTCTTTGATATACCAACAGTACTAGGGCGATGGAAATTTTATCTGCACTGGGTGTGTCACTGCGCCCGACTGAAAAGAGAGGCAAAAATTAATCTATAGTCTTACTTGGTATGTTGTTGATCACCATTGAGCGTCTACCAAAAATATTGTAGATTTGTAAGCGCAGTTACTTCCTATTTTCCATGTCAGTTTAGCTAGATACCATTCCTGCAAATCTGTCTGAAATGTCAATTTCTGAAACATCCTCCAGTCTTTTYCTTACACTCWAGCCGAATATCTTTAAMTCTTGTCAGATAAATAACCGAGTTAGATCCAAATATTACAAATGCTGATCAAATGTATAGCTAAGTGCAGCTTTGTACTTCCGTAAAGGAATATTAAAAGTATTAGCTGCGATTCCCGCACTGGAACAAACAAAAAGACATCCCAAYATGGCCACCATCGTCTTCAATGTTTTTCTGTATTTTGCAACATCAAAGTTGCCATTGGATGGGTTAGGATGTCGTCTGGTGTTAGATGTCTGGCTGGCTGGGTTGGAACTTTTTCTTGGCTTTATCTCTATACCCATGATTAGATCTACAAATGTCAGTCTCCAAAGAAAAAAAACACTGTGCCACCCCTGGAACAATTAAATGTCTTAGGAAATGACAATTCTCATTTTGACTGTTTGACTGTGGGACAWAGATCTGAGAAAGGAAGACAAACAGCATACAAGCTCAAATCACCACATATAGTCCCGGACCGTGGTTGAATTTGAACCAGGACTACAGTGATGGTAGACCGCCTTTTTGAGTAGAGGTTGTCGTACGACTTCCGCATATGGGTGTCCATATGCATGGCTCTGATGTACCTATAGAAGCCTCTCATGTCCCTATAGAAGGTTCATTAATTATATATTCAATCTTATGTACATATACGTGGTTGAAAATCATAAATATCACAACAATTCAGGTTCACTCAAACGAATTGGTCTCATGGCTTAATGGTTAGGTTTAGGGAAAATATCGGGTTAGGTAATGCATAGCGCTGGTTCGAATCTTAATACGCGTCCTTTTGAAATTTCTTTCTTTCT